TTCGTATATATGTATGCATGTGCATTTATGTTTTTCATTATTGATATAAATTAAACATATTTATATGTAATATAATTTTTGTGTATGTACAGGGTAGTAGAGGTCGAAGAGAAAGACCAATAATGGCTAATCGAATGATAGGAGAAAGTAGAGCTTTAGACTTAAAACCTCCAATGGATGAAGGTCTAATGAATTTTCATATTGAGCTTATTGAAACTTGTATTGATTTAATGGCTCGTTATACATTTTCAAATTATTCAGCACGGCCTAAAAGGTAACGAATTTTTTAATTTCCCTTAATCGTGATTAGAAATAATTACATTGATTTTATAACAGGTTACCAGCAGCCGATTTTCTTCTGAAAGAAGGTCAGTCAATGACTTGGATACTTGGTAATAGACTTATCACTGTAACGACAAGTGGTTGTAGTAATAAAGCTATGCGTGGTGGACTTTGTGACAATTGTTGGGCAGCATGTAAACCTGGCTTTTTATTACTTGATCATACAAAAACTCATTCAATCTTACAGCGTACTTCAAGTATTGAGGTATTTTTGAGAATTTATTATATATAATTATTTTTTACATTCAGATTTATATAATTATTTAATTTATTTGGAAAGCGAGACGAATTCATATAAATATTCTAAAGTATTTTACAATTATGTCATTTAAAATGACATAATTGTAAAAGACATACATATGAATACACACACACACACACACACACACACACACACACACACACACACGCACGCGCGCGCGCGGGTTGTCCGGAAAGTTCGTGTCGACTAATCTATATAATTTAATAAATGTATATTAAAATTTAAATCTTCTGTGTTTCAATTTTCCTTCAAAATCGGCACGAACTTTCCGGACAATCTAATATATAAAATATATGCTTAGCTTTTTACGATATGTATAGTTTTGTGGGTGTGTGTGTAACAATATTATTTCTTATATTTTTATGCACTACATTGAAAATAGTAAATATAATTGCATTGCATTTTTATTAAGAAAAGACATAAATATAACATTCGTAATTATATTGATAGACATCGAAAGAAGATAAATTATCTAGACAATCTTCTGGTGGTCATGGGAGTTCAAATGCAAATACTGCTACAAATTCTCCTACGGAAGAATCTAAAAAATCTACAGAAGAGTCTGATAGTACGAAAAAGGAATTTCTTATGGAGAAAACTGAAAAGGATCAAATTGAAACATCAAAGTTAGGACAAATATTAAATAACGATAAACAAGATGGACACATATTGTGTGCTTGTTGGTGTCAAGGATGGGCTGAAATATACGTTCGTAGACCTACAGGCGATATGTCATGGATTATGAGGATCCAGAATTCAACACAATTTGAAACTCCTATGGATTTTCCTGTACATGACATTATGGCTTTGTATATGCCAAATCAAGATACAGTACAAAATAAACAACAGGAGGCTGCTTCAGAATTCTCAGATGATGAAACAGAGGTATTCTAAAGTTAATCGACAATAAATCTTATTCAGAAAAAGAAGAACTTATAAATATTTCTTATTACAGGATGTGCCAAATAAAAGTAATAATCAGATACAAAATGAACATGTGAAATCGGTAATTTCATCTATAGTATCAGGTCCAATTGCAATACCTAGTTCGCCAGCTCGGCCTAGTCCATCTCGGCAAAGTTCAAGAGACAGTTTAGAAAGTTTAGAAGAAGGTGAAGAAGGTATTTATTATATTATTTATTATATTATAGTATTTATTACTTATGATTTTCAAAAAATAAATCTAAAAAATGGAAATTTTCCATAGATACGCGACGTTCTAGAAATCCAGTACGCCGATCAAATTCAAGTCCAGAAATGAGCGCTAATTGGAAAAATCCATTTCTAAATAAAGAAAAACTAAATGTGCAACAACAACAAATTGATAAAGATTTTACTTGCTCAGAGCTAGAGATTAAATTGGATGCAGAATTGAAGAAGCATTCAAAAAATATTTATACAAAAGACATGAGGTATATATTTTTTATTAAAAACGTGTACATATTCATTATTATTATGTTTATGGTAATTGGTAAATAGAGAAAGGATAAAATAAATTCAGAAAATTGTACATTTCGAAGAAGTGCTTGTATTCAAATAAATTATTAAGCTCAAGTATTATATTCTTTTATTAAATTTTATTGAATTTTATTATAAAGAAAAATTATTTTTAATAATTTTAATAATATATTTTTAATACTTTGCGTAATTTATAGAGTTAGTTGCGAAGCTATACCAGAAGAAATATTTGGCATGGGAACAACTCCACCTTCTTCAGAAAATACTGGAGATCATCCAACTGCATTACGTTCACAACGTTCTTATCCAGGAGCAACACAAATTACTCAAACTATTTCAACAACCAGTAATACTGTACCACCATCTCCTACAACTGTACAGGTTGAAATAATATATTAATGAAGTATTAAGAAAATGACAAAATATACTTTTTTATGTAATGTGAAAATGATTTCAGGCATCAGGAAATTATTTAGGAATACAAACACGTCCTGCACAGATACAATCGTCTACCACAAAAGCGCCGCAATCACCTACTCAAATTTATTCTCGATTATCTAGTCTTGATTATAATCAGAAGCAAACTCCATTAACTGTTGAAAATAAACCACCTATTGGGCGGACTCATATTGTAGATAAGGTATGCCAAGGAATTTTTTTTTCTCTTATTTTTAGTATATTATACAAATTATGACTGATCAGTCACTTTAATAGAAAGATGAAAGGCCAGATCCATCTACATTGCCTCCTTTACCTTTACCTATATTTCGCGACAGAGGTCACACAATCTCTGTTATGAGCCCAGCTAAAAAATCACGAGACTGGGATAATATACGACGGGGCAATTCTCCTCGAGTAAAAGAACCACCGCGAACAGGCATTAATCCGAGGTATATTTACCATGTCTCTGTTTATGAAACTGATATATACATTTTTTCACATTTTAAAATGTTTTATTATACTATGAGAATTACTTCTCTTCTTTTTTGAGATAAAAATTAATATGTTGTTACAGTTTTGTATTCCTTCAACTTTACCATGCAGCGCATTTTGGCACTACCACAGAAAAGCCTTTACTGGTTCCACAGACAACAGCCATACAACGCGCAGTTACAAACCTAGATAGAATACAGCCGTATGAAACTCACAAAATTGGAGTACTTTATGTCGGCCTGAGTCAAGCTTCAAATGAAATTGAAATTTTAGCAAATCAACATGGTTCACTTCGTTATACTGAATTTTTGAAACGTTTAGGAACATTAGTTCGACTAAAAGATGTCGATGAAAATATATTTTTGGGAGGATTAGATCGTAATGGTGAGAATGGAGAGTTTGCTTATATTTGGCAAGATGACGTTACACAGGTTTGTAAATAAAAATTACGTATCAAATTAATTCGTCATTCTCTCATGCGATTTTTAAAATAATTTTATTTGAAAAAATTTTTTAGGTAGCTTTTCATGTCGCAACATTAATGCCTACAAAAGCAAGTGATCCAAAGTGTACATCTAAAAAAACACATATTGGGAATAATTATGTAACACTTGTATATAATGAATCTGATGAACCATATAATATACAGACAGTTAAAGTACGTATAAAATTAAATCATGATAATACATGTTTCAAAATTTTGTTGTATGTGCGCGCGCGCGCGCGCGCGCGTGTGTGTGTGTGTGTGTGTGTATAATTCTTCTACTCTTATGTATATTTTTAGGGTCAATTTAATTACGCCTGTGTTGTGATACAACCTTTAGATCATGGTACTAATCAAGTTACAGTACAAGCACGAGAAGAATTGGCTGAGCATATTGGTCACAGCGAGCCTAAAATTATTTCTGATCAAAATTTGGCTATTCTTTCACGGCAACTTGCTTTGCATGCTAATGTAAATATCATGAAAGCTTTTACAAAAGAATTAGCTGTAATGTGACGTAATATAATATAATATAATTATAGCTAGCCTCAATGGTTTGTTCGTCTTTGAAGCAGAATAGTCATAATCCATATGCTTCTAATTGGTTGGAGCGCCTACGTCACATCAAGCGCTTGAGAAGCAGAGTATTGCAGGAATACATCAATAATAATCCGGAGACTGCTACGGACGAATTATCACCGAGAATCAACAAACGAGTGTATATGGACGATTTCACGGAATATACGACATAATTATTTGTATCATTTATAGAATAATACTATGACAAAAATATTAACGAATGGAAACTATTACATATTAGATCAAATTAATGCATTAAAAAAATTAACTTGCATTAATTGTTATCAAAGTATTTTAAAAGCTCACAAAATTAAATGTATAATATATTAATATATTAAGAAGAATGATACTTTTCGTTAGAACATATCGCAATCTTATATAATTGATGTTTTTTGCTTGTAACGTAAATAAAAAAATGGCAGTTACTCTAATTTTCGCATTAAATTTTTTTTTAGGATAAGAGATTGAACATAATCAAATTTGGACAACTTACAAAAAATTTATATATATAATTTATTCAAATAAAAGATGGAAAAATTTCAAAGTATAACTACCAAATAATTTTTTGAATAGTTGATACATTGACACGTTCATATTTAGCTTTTAAGTACTAACCCCTTTTACATAAAGTGCAGGCATTTGATACGGATTAACTATAGTAACTTTCTATTAAATTATTTTAATTTCAGCAATATATTCAAAAAATGATGATACTGTTTGGTACAATATGCATTAAAATAATTAATTAAATACATATATTGTATATATGTTTACATATATTGCCAAAATTAAGAGCATTCAATAGAAAATTAGTACCTATATGTAAACTAAAAGCCAATGTAAATTAGCCATTTGCGCGGCGCGCCACACTTTGCTGATTCAGGTGACGGAATATGTCGAATAAATACTTATTTCTGAAGTCAGGATTCCCGCGGGCACCTTTTGGTCTTGGGATCGGACGTTATGTCTGCCAGTTACAGAGAATAACTTTAAAATTTTGCAAAAACCGTGGTGCAAGTCAGGGAATAAGGTAATTCTAACCTATACACTTATAGATGTTTTCTACACAATATTTAAAATTAACATTTTTCTTTTCATTTTCTTCTTAAATCAATATTAAATTTTTTTTATAGAGGCTTCATAGAACATGATCTAGTTAATTATGCAAAAGAAAATCCAGGAGTTGTAGTATATGTTAAACCAAGAAGGCATAGACAACCAGTCATAGTAGCCGAATATTGTACGTTTGTGCTTATCTATGGAACATTATCTACATTTAAAATCTTATTAGTGTAGTGCTAATATAAAATATATTTTTCCAGTGAATGGCGATAGACAATGGATGGAGGTTGCTAATTATAGCCGAGAGGATATTATAAAATGGATGGAATTGTTACGAACACAATTTCATAATGGTTCTTCGTTGAGATTGCGTAAACTATGGCACACGGAATTTCCATCGATTCAGGGACCATGGACACCATTTACTTTTAGAAATCCTATGTTAAACTTAACTCAGTTTCCTAATGTAATTATGTTTTTATCCAGAAACAGATTTTTTTCATTTTGTATCAAGATTTTTTATTTTGTATTGAGGAATTAGTTATAAAAAAATTATACATAACTTCATAAAATATATGACATATTTCATTTTATTTGTAGAAAGAGCTTGGTGCAGCTGTTAAACTTGGTCCCACAGCAACGGAACAACTTGTCGAATTATTCAAGGCTCAGCAGTTGACTGATAATGCAGTTAATGATTCCTGCCAAAATGTTGAAGAAACTTCCATACATGTTCAAAGGACATAATATTTTAAGCAATTTTAATACAGTTCTAATTTTTAATTTATAGTATGTATATAAATATATATAGTGTAAAAGATATTTTTGTAGTATTTCATAAATGTTCAAAATCAAAACATAAGAAGTCTTAAAGACGGTTTTTTAAAATCGAGATATAAGATATCTTTTAACAAAAATGTTAAAATTTTTAAGATGTTTTATGTCTCGTTTTCGATTATGTGTGTTATCTGAGATGTATTGTTATAATCAGAATTGCAGCAACCGAGTTCGCATTTGTTGACAACATGATGAACTTGATGACATATGACAATTCTGGGAAGCAATTTGTGAGCAATTTGTCTACAACTTTAAAATCGTCATCATTAAAATTCGTACTAATACTATCATTATAATAATATACAAAATAAGACAATGCTGTTATATTGCGATAATACAAGATAATTGATGCAATTATCTTGTTAAACTATTGGCAATATATTATATGTTATTATGGCTAGTATATTGCTACAATATCAGTATATTCGAAATCATTCAAAACAAATCTATGAAAAGTTGCCGGCATCATAAAGACGGGATTCTATGGCTCAGTATGGCTGATCGTGATTGGTCTTGGCTCTAAGTTCATCACAAGATCAGTCGCGAAATTGATATAAAAAAAGATTAAAATCATCGCATAGAGGCTTTCCAAATTATGACGAGCTACACCGAGCCATGCTGAGCCGTATTGTGAGATCACAGATTTGTGTGATTGTATTGAGACACGCTTTGCTGTCTCTTTATGTCATTTTTTTTCAGTTTTGCTTGAAAGTGATGTAATGATGAAGTGATGAAATAAGTAGAAAATTCTTTAGCAGAATTTGTAGATTATTTATCGTAAGAATATAAACACTATTAAATATAATGTACACTCGTAGAGTTTTAACAAATCTATGATAACAAATCTATGATGACGCTACATTGTATATTTTTTTGCACATTTTTCACGTGCTATATACATGTCCGCATGACAAAAATGTTATTTGTAGATTTATATCATAGAAAATTTTACATAAATTTTTATCGTCGTCATATGATTTTTTTTTAATTGTTTGAACTCTAAGAGCTTTCGTTGATATATTCTCGTTCTCATATATGTGCATTTTCTCAAATTTCTTTTATTGTATATTTCATAAATGCAATTAGTATATGAGAAGAAGCTTTATTTTTAGCATTTTTATTGATTATCTTGTATTCATAGTGAATATTGAAAACGTAAATTTTTTTATATGTGCATATATGAAAATTTTTTATTATAAATCTTTTTTAATCTTAAATCATAAAATGAAAACTAATTTAATTTTTAAAAGGATCCTGAAACAAAGACCGAACTTGATTGATGCCAATAAAACCATAATAAAATAAAATCATGAGTAAAAAACTTTAATCCCAAATTAAAAATATATCGACAAAAGAGCAATAAAGTCAGAAAATGCCTCTTAACAACTAATTAAGAAAAGGATAACGTGATTTTAATTCATTATCTGGATCCAGGTATTGCAGAAATTCGTCCCTAATGAAATTATCTTTATTATATCTTTTTGTGTGTATTTTAATTCTGTAAAAATTGCAATCCGTAAAATCAGTTCGAACATTTATTTTATTAGATTATTTTATCACAGAATGAAATGGTAAAACAGAACGGCTTCAGGATCCCCTTACAACAAATTAAAATTTTTGCTAACTCTACAAGATATATTCATAAGATATATATGAAAGATATAATATGCAATATATGTATATGTGTATATGAAAGATTTAGGATAATATACAAGAATCGTCTGGTTTTTTCTTTTGGAACTTATTCTTTGGAATTCGTGCATTAATCGGTGTTTCAAAAAAAGAATTGGATTTGTACCTTTCTTGTGAAGTACTTGCACTTGGTGTTTTCTGCAAAAGGAAATTATAATCGCGTTGTAGATATTATATGACATTCGCTTATGCGCGTCTTATTAATTATTAATCTGTCTTTAATTATCATTACCGTCTGTTTAGGTTGAACATTTGCATCTCTATTACGTAAATCGAGAATTGTCCCGCCTGGTTGAGTTAAATGCGTATATGAATAACTGTACTCTGTAATAAATAATATTTTTTTTTATTTATTACCATTTAGTTTAATTTAGATAAAAAATATTAGATAAAAAATTATTTTTTACACTTTTATTATATATTATATGAATACAAATGATTACGAAATACGCACGTGTACTTTTGGGCAAATGTGTTGAGTAATTCGTTGTATTAATGTAATTTAAATTTGTTGTCGGAACATCAGGAAAAATCTAAAAAAACATTTTATTTATTTAATCCATTTTTTAATATATAATCAGGAGAGATGTACGAGAAATAAAATACCGTTTTATTCATTGAATCCTTAGTTTTAACTTCGGAATCTGTTTGATTATTCCATTTATCATTATTCTACAACATAAAATTATCTCTATGATATTTAATGTTTTGAAATGAAAATTTCAAATGATGCTTATATTTTTATTCATAACAAACATCTCCATTTTTCTTTTTGTCAGCTTTATTAATATTGTCAGCTTTTAATATCTTTTAATGTTGAAAGAAATTCATTTTCTCTCAAGTTTTTATTTCAGTGCATGTATGTACATAGTGATATAATACATAAAAATACATATTGTTAAAAATATCTTGTTTTATTAGTCATATATATGTAAAATAAAATCTTATAAATATCTTATAAATGCAACATTATCTTTGCTACATAATTATACATATATGTAATGTTATATATAAATTATTTAGATATTAGTTATCAATACATTATATCTTAAACATGCATGTATAGAACAAATTATAACTAACGATGCTAATTTTGTTTAGTTTTCTTTTGATTATTTACCTTTAAGTTCAATTTTGTTTGTTGCGCTGTTGGATCCAGTAAATTTTTATTCATCTACAATATTAAAGAATACAATATTAGAGAATTATAATGATCATGACAACATATTTTAATAATCAAGTTGATAAGTCTTCGATATTTTCAATCAATATATATTTTATCTTGAAATAATTTATTACCTTATTCATCTTAAATTTAAAATTCTTGCAGCATTGGGTAAAGTGATTTGTGTCACCACATTTTGTGCACTTCGATCCCCAAGCAGGACACTTCCCAAGTGGATGCTGCTCATCACATCTCCAACAAACTCTCTTTACAATATTATCTGATGATTTTGATGTAACACTTGAGTCTACCCTCGTTTCTTTAGTAACTTGTTTCATTTTTTCCGTATTAATGTTGTAGTCGTGGTAAATTGCTACCAGCTTCGGCAAATCTAAATTGTCTGCTTCGAAAAATTTTTTACGCAATATTTTGTCATGAGTTTCAAGAATAATTTTGTCTCGTATCATGCTATCTAGCATATCATTAAAGTTGCAAGTTTTAGCCTTTTCCTGTAAATAACAAAAGTTTCAATATATATATATATATATATTTGTGTATATGTGTGTGTGTGTGTCGCGCGTGCGTGCGCGCGCGCGCAATATACAACACAAAATATACATTACAAATATCACGTACTTTTAAAATATTTATATATTGTTCAATAGTCTCATTTTGTTTCTTTACTCTTGTAAAAAAATGATATCGTTCAACCACCTCTTTTTTTGGTGGATTAAAATAGTTTTCAAGTTTTTCAATCAATATATCCATGTTATCTCTATCTTCCACATTGTCAAAAGAAAAATTTTGTATTGCATCAATACCAACTTTTCCAATCCGATTTTTTAAAAGATTTGCGCGGATTTCATTAGGTTTATCAATATATCCAGTTAAATTCATGAATATAATAAAATCTTCTTTCCAGCTTTGCCAGTTGCTGGCCATATCGCCTTCTATTGTTAAAGGATCTGGAGCACGGGCGTGTACCTCCATGATAAATGCAAAGCTTACTAGAAAAAAAAACAAAAAAAGAAAAATACAAATTAATTAATCTTTTTCAAAATATAAACTTTGATTTATTCTCTAAATTTGTATCAGATTGTACAGATTAAAAATACAAATAATTTTTACAAGATTTTTACAAAAAATGTAAATGCTTAAGTAAAAATTATAAGAAAAGAAAATTCTTACATTGATATAAAAAAAAAAAAGAAAAAATTATCAAACATTAAAAAATTGTACTTTTCCAATTGTGCTTTTTCAATTATGATAGGAAAGATAAGTTTACTATTATCCATGTATATGCAAAGATTTTTCCTTTGTCTAAAAAAATGCTAACAGGTGTAATAAAACTTTTCGGGTTATCATTTATGAAAACAATATTAAGTGCACCAAGTGATATAAATTTACTGCGCTGTGTTTGTACTTTCTGCATGTAGTTACGATTAAATTTGACACTTATACGGACAATTAATTATATTATGTTTAATTTTACAATTATTTTATATTTATTTTTAATTTTATAATTTTATGATTATATATTTAATTATAAAATTAATAAAATATGTTAGGAATTTCTCAGCATTAAAATGATAAAAATTATGTAGGTAAATGTTTACCTTTAGGCGAGGCCTCTCTAATGATCTTGTATGTTGTCAAGGTCATGATTCTGAGTAATCTCCAACAACTTTTAACCGTCGCTCGTTATCGATTATAAAGTTAACAAAAAAAAGTTTGAAAAAATAACGTTTTATTCCTCTATATATAATATTAAAAACTGTTCTATACTTTTCCTTGCTTACGTAATGGTTTTTCATCGAAGGAAGTTCTATTCCACCTCTCCCCTTGCTCTTACAAATCGCTTCCGCGTAGAAATTGTGAAGCAAGAGAAGAGGAGGTGGGATGAAATTCACATCACATGAACAGTAAAACATATTTTAAAGCAGAAAATTTTTATTTTATATAGTAGAAAGAGACATCATTTTTCAAACTCTTTTGTTAATAACTTTTTAATGGAGTTTAACGAGCGATGACTAAAACTTGTTGGAAGTTACTCAGAGTCATGACCTTGATATTATAATATATTAAATTTTATCAAGACATTTTTTATTGCTAAAGAACAATAAAGAACTTGAAAATATATTAATTCTCGCTATACTCACTGGAATCCCAGCAACCCTTGTGCAATAAATCGAAATTTTTTCGTGTTTCTGAACTTTTTTTTTTCTATACAATTATAAGAATAAATTTTTCTTTTTCTTTGAACTAATGCATCTCGAAGTTCCTTAATTCTACTGACTTTTACACATAGTGAACTTATTCCTCAATCAATTTTCCATCGATTGAAAAAAAAAAAATTAATTGAAATGTGTCCATTTTTATAAAAGTTACGATAATAAAATATGGATGGGGTCCTAGAGATCCAAGTATGTATATCAAGGATAAAAAAAATGTGTATAGCTAGGGTTAACTATACTTATAAGACGTATATTTATAATTATTTTCTATTAATTTTATTATATACATATGCATATACAGGATATCTACAAAGAGATCAAACTTATATGTTAATGAGGTTGAATAGATGAAAAAAGTTTATATAAAACTTACGTCCAAAAATGCTTAATTAGGAAAGTTATAAATATTAAAAATTTTATGAGTAAAAATTTGGTAACATTATTCAAGTAGCACGTTTACAAAACGTTAGAAAAGTGCTAAAACAGCATATGTAAGCTTTTTTTAGCGCTTTGCAAGCGTTGCACTACTTAGGTAGTTCGACGAATGGAAGCTTGCATTCTTTCAAAGAGGATGTATTTTGAAATGAAATGAAAATTATAAAAATGAACAATTCACTAGATATTGAATTAATGAAATTATAAATATAATGAATATGCTCACTTCTATAATTTTCATCTCATTTTAAAATATACAATCGATTCCCTCTGAAAGATAAATATTTTTAAATATTTATTGATTAATGATATTATTGATAATATCAATTGTTACAATAGTTACAATAAATTCTTCAGGCTTTCATGACGAATTAATAACTGCAGAATATTTATTTTGCAACTGTTGAGTTTTCTTTGTTGCAATAAAACTCATTTTCTAAGTAAAGAATCATCCAATGTAAAACTATAATTCAATCAGTATAAAGAAAACTTTCAACAGTTGCAAATTAAACATTCTACTGAACAAGGCCAACTATCAAATTCTATCAAATATTTCTATTGTGCTACAAATACAGTAATAAATGTATATTCTGTTTATAAATCTTTGAGTGTTATAACTTTCTAATAAAGCATTTTTGAATATATGTCTATATGAAATATTCTTTTTCAACATGTGTTGATCATCAATGGCTGCATTCAGTAGAGAAAGCTGCATTAGGAGCTCCGCACAATAAAAGGAACAAAGAGAATAAGAATTTCAACCTATCAAAAACTGTGTATTCCACAATATATGATTTCTGATAGGTTGAAATTCTTATTCTCTGTTTCCTGTTTCTTTTATTGTGCGGAGCCCCTTATATTGTACAAGTATAATATTGATTTTTGCACCTGGGATGCTATTCTGTAACTTTCTGTACACGCCCGATAGTTGTCAATGTATTTTGCAAAGCTTTTTTACCATACCACAAAATATCTGCGCAAAATACATAACATCAACAGCTATCGGTAGGTGTGTACAGAAAGCTACAGAATTGCGTTCCTTGGATACATAGAATGCTAATTTCTTTAAAATAGTATAAATTCAAACAAATAGACATAACGTTCCAATATATATATATATTTCTAATTTTTTAAAGATATATAATTAAATACGCCATATTCAATTTTGCAATTAAATTATGTGTCTAGAATGACTCATTATAATTAACGTAGCATACAATCTCTACAATAATCATTCTTCTAACAAGTTTTTAATGTATTTACCTGATTGTTGAAAATAAGATTCCGCACTTGTTCGATGCAGAATATTTAAATAAGTGTATAAAGCTCAGCCGTGAATAAAAATGACTGAACTCACTACTCTCCAGCTATCCGACCTTGACTGGCGATCACTGGCGATGGCAGATAATAACACACATATCAGATAACGTAATCATCGGTATTGTACCAACCTACGTGTGTATGCAGTAAAATGTTATTACGACACGGGTATTCCCCACGCACATGTATATCACAATAGGCGCGTTCAAGCCTAGTTTCCACCGAGGGTTTAAATCGGATCAAAATATAAAAACCAACCACAGTTGAATTCCCCTGTTACAATCGAACGACAGGGAAATGATTGTAATTGATTGGTTCTTACATTCTGATTCTAATTAAATCCTCGGTGGAAACTAGGCCACTGTGTGTTATTTATTCTGGAATTTAAAGTTCAATATATTTAATTCTAAATATCACACATGGATAGAATGTATAAATTTAATTCAAAAAGAAATTTCACATAATATATTCTCATATTATATTAGACAAATATTCAAAGTATTATTTTTTATGTTTATTACCTTATTTTTTTTTTTCGCTTTGCATGTTGGAACTTTAATAAACAAAATTTTCCAATTAAGAATGCAAACAAAATAAATTTTTATATTACAAGAATTGACCTGCTAACACTGAAAAATTGGATAGAAAAGAACTTTTTAGCGTTTACCATAGATAAAATTATAGGCCTAGTTTTTAAGAACGGATTATTGTTGAGAGCTTATTACAGTTCTTTAGACAAAGTGAAAATTACAAAAATGAGCAAACCTCACTAAATGTTAACCAATGAAGTTATAAATATTCTAGTAAATTCGATCCACTTTCGTAATTTTCACCTCGGTTCAAAAATCGTAATAAGTCCCCTGGATTCACATTGAATCCGACATGCGTCATATAACGCTTTGCAATCAATTAGAAAACAACACTTTTGCTTCATATCATCGACACAAAATAAAATACGCACGTGAATCAGCATACAAATTCCGGCCCTAGATTTATAATGGCTTTTGCATACTGGACGCAGAAACACTTGCCGCACGGCAAAATGCTACGCGGTAACCAAGCTTACAGCTCCTAATATGTTTATTTGTTATTACGTCGCATTTTCTCGTAAGCGTTTTCGCGTTCAGCAGAAATCTTAAGAAACGCGCGATTGGTATTAAGTGTTCTGATTGGTCATTGCAATTACATAATTAACAGCCAATGATGAATTTATTTCTGTGTACTAAAAATGGTTGCTTAATGAATGATGGTGGATTTCATAATCTGTCTCGCAAATGACGCTATTTCTAATATTTCTTCTAGTACTTTTGTAATGCTAACATCAGTTGGTTGCGCATTTTTTATAAATATAGGACTCTAGAACCGACAGCCTTTTTGTTGGTTATTTCGACTGCTATTTCAATTTAGTTGTCTGTAGTTCAATAAATATTTAATATTATTGTTATAGGATAGAGACCCTATAGTGCAACAGAAGGTCTGTTCGCATGTTGCATAAAATCCCCAAGTATTTTTGCACTTAAAATGAGATAGATACATATTTTATTTTAAAAAGAGAGAACGCGCAGATGTCGAATGCCAAAAGTGCAAGCAAACAAATTTATGCCCGTTTCCAATGTAAATTAATTTTAAATCTTGGTTCAACTTAGGCTGGAATCAGACTTCGCATTGACAAATGAAATTGAAGATTGAAAAATTGAAGTTTGACCAATCAGAACAAAAGGAGCAAAACTTCTTTGTCCTCATTGGTTGAAATTTCAATCTTTAATTTTTAATGTCAATCTTCAATGCATAGTCTGATTTCAGCCTTACTTCGTCTTTTTCTAGTTCTAAAGATTAGAAAAAGACAAAGAGTAAGTTGAACCGAGATTAAAGTTAATCTACATTGGTAGAAATCGGCATTAATGATTCGATTCAAAGTGTCACATGATCGATATATTTCTCTGATTGGTAGGAGTAATTCATAGTAGCTGCCATATTGAATTTACTATCAATATACTCAATATCGATTCCTGTCGACTGCTGTGGAATGAGATTAGTAAACTCATCCTTCAATGTTTTGTGAATATTTATCTATTATTTCATGCTTTGCATTGAATGTTGCATATCTTATGTACTGAATTTACATCCATCATCACCATGCCAACGAATTGCGCCGCATATCACTATAGTAATAACATTATTGGAGGTAATAACGGGGGAGAATCGCTTCGCGTCAAAATCCATATAGAATAATACAATTATAGATCTCGTTTTGTCTCTGTGACAGATTTCCTAACCTCAATTTCCTAATGTTAATTTTAACATTTAATATCTTGATTTGCGAGGCAGAGTGATACTTTTTTTTGCCAGATTCTTTCGTTTCAAAAACGCGTCGAATAAGCCTAATTTTATTGATTTTTAAACTGCGACATTTATTCTGTATAATTATTTATTGGACTTTCTATAAGCTATTAGTCGTAAATCAGAAGTCAGAAGTTAAAAATTGACCAATCAGACGTCTGACTTCTGATTTATGACTAATGGCTTATTGTTGAAGATATATATGACTTTAAGGCTTAATTCCCGTAACCATAGTCAGGTCTTATATTTAAGGCTTCTTTAAATTTATCTTCAGATCTCTATAAATTATTTCATTGGCTACTGAGCATCTAAAGATAAATTTAAGGAAATTTAAAACTCATTCTACAATAGGCAATAGCAGTAGTAAATTAAGGAATAGGCGTAGAAATCAACCAATCATAGTCGAATGTGAGATGGATAACTATGATTAATCGATTTCTACATCCTCTTTAATCCACTACTGCCCATTGTAGAATGGGCTTTAAGTACAAGATCTGACTATGAATACGAGCATAAAACATCTATTATTATATGTAGATCCGGACTAATAGCATAATAGTAGCATAATAGAATAGCCAATTAAATTTGGGTCTAAACTCATTTTCCTACTGCGCATTTGCGGGAACGTTACAACTTGTATTTTTACACCATGATTAAATTCCAAATGTTCCAAAATTTCCTCTCTGAGGAAAATTTTACTCGAAATATATAGTACACGTAACGTATACTATAGCATGTAGAGTATCTTTCTCGGAGAGGAAGTTTTGGAATATAGTCTATTAAAGTGCAGTCACAATAGAAGGAATCAGGAATTAGGAATAAAGAATAAAGATTTCAACCTATCAGAAATCGGATTCACTGGAATACACGGTTTCTGAAAGTTGGTATCGTTATTCCTTATTCCTAATTCCTTATTTCTTCTATTGTGATTGCATATTACTCGTATTCATATATTCATATTCATAATCAAGCCTTATATTTAAGACTTTCTTAAATTTATCTTTAGATATATTACGAATTATTTCATTGGCTGCTGAGCATCTAAAGATAAAAGGAGCCTTAAGTTCAAGATCTGACTATGAATACGGGCATAAGTGAATATGATTTTTACTTTATCCTTTTTCTCTCTTTATCTTCTTGTTCTCTCTTTATCGCCACGTTGTGTTCGTTGAAAACGAGCCTGTAGGATCTACAGGCTCTTGCGCCATTTGCGCCGTTTGCGGCGGCGTTTGGCAATTTAGCAGAATTTAACTGCGTTGGACATTCGATTCGGAGGCTTACGAAGGCTAAGCAAACTGGCGACACGATCGGAACAATTGATAAATGAATGTGGTGTAGCCTTGTATGTAATGTAGGTACATGTATTCGCTCATGGTTCATTCGCCTGGCTGGAGCCGCTGGAGCACTGAGCAATCGAGCAGGAGCAACACGAAGGCGACTGGCGAACAACGTGATCGGTGGTTCGTCGACGTGATCAAACGTGATGACGTCAGATCTCGAAGCATAGGCTGCATAGGCCGAGAAGGAACGCGTTTAAAGCCGAGTAGGGCGTGAAATCGTGCGCTCGTTCTCTCGTGCGTCGCGTCGCGTCGCGTCGGCCGTCGCGTCGGATGGAAATATGTGCGAATAACAGCGCGCGCGCGCGGCCCTTTTATTCACGGGATAATTATGTTATTCGGTGCTGTTTTAACGTGATCGACAGTGAATAGTGTACCATGTTCCGCTGCATTCCAATTTTTAAAGGGTGTAACAGGCAGGTGGAATACGTTGACAAGCGTCATTGCTCTCTGCCCTGCGTCCCCGACGATATCCTGCGATACTCTAGGAGTTTGGAGGAGCTTCTACTAGACGCGAACCACATTCGCGATCTACCAAAAGTAAGCGACAAAGACTTTCTTTCGTCTTCCTTAAGCAGCTTTCATCTTCTTTTTCTTTTTCTATCTCGCACATACATGACAAACACGTACTATCCTTTTCTTACCGTTGCATTGTATTTTTCCTGATGTATTAGTCTATCATCGCCATACAAGAATTGTATTAAATATCTTATACGTATGTGTCTCTCTTTTTGCTTTGTCCGAAAGCCAGTCGATCGAGAACCTCTATCTATAGGACGATGTCGTGTTTCTTTCAGAATTTCTTCCGACTCCAGAGGCTACGAAAACTTGGCCTGAGCGACAATGAGATACATCGTTTGCCACCAGACATTCAAAATTTCGAAAACCTCGTCGAGTTGGACGTGTCCAGAAATGGTGAGAAGTATATTAATTTGTAACAAAAAAAAACTAACAAATTTTTTAAGCTATTTTATTTGCGCTCGAGATAATTGTAATACCGAAACATGAACGCCGCTAGAACTTCCAGTAATTAATCGTAATTAATCTTATTAGAAGAGTTCCATTAATAATATCTCGCGTCCTATATGTCACGATATCGTTTTTATCATTGACACGCTACTTTTTCTTCGACTGTGAAAGATTTGCTGATTGAATTTGACTATTCTTTAAGAGGAAGAAGAAGAGCGAGTCCATAAGGACACGAGTATTAAGGAGTGATTCAGCGGTGAAGAGAATTGAATAAAAAGCGTAACCGTCGGCTTGATCTATGAAGGCAAAGTTACTGAAAGAGAATCTCGTTTATCGTACTTTTAATACTGAATGCGGCAACGCCGTTGGCCGTGTGTTAATGAAACCTGTATAACGGTGTATTTCGCTTCCTCTTGTCGTTGCCTCTACCGTAGTCGCTGTAGCTACCCATTGCTA